GGTGCTTTGGAGAAAGGATTACCAAAGTCATTTGTAAATGAAAGGCTGGGGTGGGGTCTTCAGGGTTTTCTACAGTCTCTATGCTTTTGTTGACTTGCTGTGTGTCTGTGAGCAACTTGTAAAACCTCTCTGAGCCCGGACTACCGGAGAGAACTAGTTCCCGAAAGCCTCTGCTCCCGTGGGCTTTGCAGGTGACTGAGACAACACATACAAACGGTCTTGAGATTTTAGAAAAGGAAATACTATCATATATAATCTTGCCAATTTTTTTAAAAAGTAAATGTGTTTTCATTGGCATAAATTAAACACTAAATCCACTCTGTGCATAGTTTCATGCTGGGTTCTGTGGATAGTCGAGGATAACGTGTGGGCTCGAAGGAGCTCATCTGAGAGGAAGGCCAGGTTCTATGCGGAAGAAATGAGAGTGAAAAGAAGACCGCACGTGTAATAGGGTGTCTGGACTGCAGACCTGCAGAAGAGCTGAAAGCAAATCTCTCTGAACAGAGCAGTCTGGGAAGGTGGACCAGGGGGTGACTTAGTTTAGGGATTAAAAGTTAAGAAAATGGGGCCAGTGGGACATGGTGGTTACTGTACTGGATCCCACATGGCTGACTGCAGTTCGAGTCCCTGACCAGGTGGCTTGATAAACAGTGGTGCATGTGCATTTGTGCCAAAGTCCCCAAAGTAGAATGGAGGAGAGGAGATTGCAATGTGACCATTTGCCACGGGGGTGTTATCTGGCTTTCCTTCTCTCTCTCTCTCTCTCTCACCCTCTCTCTGTCTCTCTCTCCAGTGAGTGCACAGACTTTTTGGCAAATTAAAAAAAAAAATTAGAAAACAGGCCATTGAGTGATGCTGGAGCCCAGGGTTTGGATCTCAGGTTGACCTAAACATGCCAGGCCTACCCACGATGCACCTGGGCTGGGAGCTTCTTGGTGCAGTGTGACTGTCAGGAGTGCCCCCCTCCCCTCTCCCTCTCTCAACAAATACATAAAATAAACTTTTTAAAAGGTTTCGCTATAGGGTGTGTATGCTGCCGTAGAGAGACTGAGAGGGAGAGAGAGAAGTCACCCTCCCATCCTCAGGGAGGATGACCATGCCTCAATCCCTTCTCCTCCACTCTCCTCTTAAGATTTTGAGCATGCACACAACATGCTTTTCAAGCCACTGGGTCTGGGACTCAAACCATGCAGTCAGTCATGTGGGATCCAGTTTAACTACCACACCACCTGGCTGGCCCTAGCTTTTTTTTTTTTTTTTAAAGAATCATCTTATTATTTAACTTTATTTATTTCTTTAATTAGTTTAATTTGATCAGAGAGGGACTTACAGAGAGAGAGAGAGAAAGGAAGCCACCAAGTCTGGGACTCGAACCATGGTCAGCCATGTGGGAGTCCAGTGCCCTTAACGACCACACCACCTACCAGCCCCTGGTCCCTAAACTTTGGAAAATAAAAATAAAAAAGATGAGAAAGCATTTTAAGCACGTACCCCAGGTAAGAATAGACAAGATTGGTGAGAGGAAGTATTTGGAGAAAGCCTCCTCTAGAGTAGAGAAGCCTGGAGTCAAACAGGGGGAGGAGACGGAAGGGATGCACAGGGTAAGGGGGGTGCTGACAAAGTGTATTAGTCAGCCCGGGCTGCTATAACAAACGACCACAGACCAAGTGGCTTAAGCAGCATATGTTTATTTCCTTACGGTTCCAGAACCCAGGAACCCTAGATGTAGCAGACCTGGTTTCTTCCGAGGCCTCCCTCCCTGGCTGGCAGATCGCTGTCTCCTCTTCTTATAAGGACACTGGTCCTACGGGGTTAGGGCCCCACCCCTATGCCCTTATACCATCTCAGTGACCCCTTTAAAGATAGTCACTTCAGGGGCCAAATACAGTCGCTTTGGGGGTTGCGGCTTCAACATATGAACTGGGAAGGCACAATTCTGTCCAAAAGCGTGTGCGTGTGCCCCAAGGAAGCAGGGTGTATCTAGGCACGTGACAGGGGAAGATGTCGACATGGATGTGTAGGGACGAAGCTGGACTTCTCAAGCCAATTTTTTTTTTTTAAATTTCCTGCCATAGGGCACATATGCTTGCAGGAGAGGGACAAAGAGAAAGGGGAAGTGAGAAATCACCCCCTTCTCCTCCACCCTGCTGTTGGGATTTTGGGCACAATCACACACGTGTCTGGAGTATTTTTCAGGTCTCTGGTCCTGGACTCAAATGGCAGAGTGGGCTATGTGGGATCCAGCGCCTTAGCCACCACGCCACCTGCTGGCTCTCAAGCCAGCTTTTAACTGGGGTAGTCCTCTTCATTCCCAAGGAGCTCTCATTTATCAAGTGGCTGGTGAGTTTCAGGTGCACTGTGCTAACAGTGGCTTTTAAGTGGCAGGTCTGGACACTGATGTGAGCTGAGTGGAAGGACATGGAGGACGTTAGAAGAATTAGAAATTATAGGACCAGGACTGCCTGGCCCACTGGTCTCAACCCTCACAAGCTCACACGCAGAACCGAAGCGTATTCCCTGGAAAACGTCCTGGACAGAAGGCCTCCGTCCTTCCCCGACACCTCTGGTCTGCCATCCCCTTACCTGGCTAGACTGGGACAGAGCTGTTCTGCGCAGAGCACCTCTGCATATCTGGGTGGCTAACGCCAATCACTGCTGCCACAGTGATGAGATCTGTGGGGCTGGGACTCACAGCGTCACCGTTAGAGAGAGGTGAGAACAAAACCCAAGAAAGCTGCGCTCAGATGCTTGGGACTGGGTGAAGCTAGTTCATCCCCAGGCACTTGCTGTCTCCCTAGGCTGGTGTTCTGGCTAAGGAAGGCTCACGGGTGAGACTGAATGACGGCCTGCAACTGATTCCACACCAAGAGGGCGGCGGGCACCAAGAGGCAGGAGACTAGCAGGGAGATGGTCTCTCAGGTGCCCGGGCCCAGGCCACATGATTCAGCTGCCCCCAGGACCGGGCGGTGGCATGATCCAGCAGGTGAAATGCCAACCAGACTCCTTATGGGTGGAGAAGGGGATAGGTGTGCCCTGGGGCAGTCTTACCTGCTGTGGGGTAAAGGCTCTTAATCTGAGCCCTAGATTAAAATTGTATGTGTGTGTTTAAATACATATTCCCATCGCCTAAAAAGGATCACTGTTTTTCCCCTAGATGAAACTTTAAGGATCCATGAACTCCTTTCCCAAATTGCATGTCAATGCGTGCGTACGTGAGTGGGGATTTTTCTGAGAAACAGATCCATGGCATTTATCAGCCTCTTTCAAAAGGATGTCTGATTCCCAAAAGGAAGGTGATTATGAACCATTGTCCTAGACCCTAGAAACAGGCTGGCACTGGGCAGAACCCCAAGAGACTCAGAGTGACTAATGATTCTGAAATTATACTCAAGGGGTGTGGTATATGTGTGTACGTGAACAGTGTGTTGTGTGTGTGTGTGCACAAGCGCACGCGTTTCTTTATTTTTCCAGGAGAGGGGTTCAGTGATTGTTGACAGATTGTCTAAGGGGTCCACAATCCTAAACCTGTCAGGAACCTGAGCTTGATGGGGGTGCAAAGAACTGCTTCACTACAGAAGGTGGAAAACAAGGCCCTGAGTGGGTCCTGGTAGTTTTGCTCAAAATCTGGGACTTGCAAGGTGCAGGGTCGGGGTCTGGCTGGTGGGGCCCTCGGTAAAGCACACCCTGGATTCACTGCAAGAGTCAAGGGCCAGAGCCAGACAAGTAGGTGACCGTCACAAGAGCGTCACCAGATGGGAAACAGCCTTAGCTCCTTCCCTCTCTATGGCAGATTCCCCAGCCCTTCTCTTTCAAAGCTCTGAGACCCAAGTTTTCAGAAAACCAAGGACCTTACTCACAGAAACTCAACAGCAATTCAACAAATACTTACGGAGCGCCTACTACGTGCCAGGCTCTATTCTAGGTGCAAAATAAGGGACTTGCCTTCTGAGTGGTATCGACCTCGGCCAGTTTCCTGCCCCGGACACAGGTATTTTGGGCACTGCTGACCAAGCGCATCTTCCAGAGCTGATCCCGGCAGCCCCAGGCCCAGAGAGGCAGCAGCCATCCCACCCCCCACCACCCCCCCCCGCAGCGGGCTGGGGGTGCGCGGGGGCGGGGGCGAGCAGACGCTGCCTGCAGCCGCCTGGACTGTCGTGCCTGATCTCGGAGCTGCGCCCGCCTGCTCCCCGCCCGCTGGGGCCATCGCGAAGCTCTGCTCTCCATACTGAGCAGTCCCCGGGAGGCGCTCGGACACGTCCCCAGGCCGGATAAAGATCTGCTCGGCGCTCGCTCTGCAGCGCGAAATCTCGCCATCAGCGCGGCTAGCGCGGCCGCTCTGGCCCGGACCGGCGACGACAGATCGCTATCTGGGTAGGGACAGGGAAGCAGCGCCGCTCTCCCGCCGCCACCCTCGGCCCCGAGCGTAGGGGCGGGCGCGG